AAACCAGAGCTGAGCATAAGGAGGAAGATTATCCTTCACTAGGACGTGCACTGTAATTTCAGCAAGGATATACTTTGCTTTTCTCTGCTTCCATGCGACCCACCTGCTGAAGAGGTGTACAAGCTGCCTCTCCCTTAGCTGGCATCTATACTAAATGGGTTACAGCTGCTACTAATTTCATTTAGGGCCTAACCCCTTGATGACAGAAGCCGTGACTCCTGCACAGGAGTTTGATGAGTCCTAGCTGGGTATTTGCACATGGTATTTCTGCAGCTCTCTTAAACAGCAAGGAACATATTTTCAGCTTAAGAAGTGTGACCCGATCTTTCATCACTAACATAAATGAGCTGATACTAACATGGTTAAGGTGGGCATTTGTAAGTGTGGCAACAGGAGGGAAAAACCTCACGTACGTTAAGGAAGACAGAGATGAAATCAACAATGGCTCAGGAGTGGCAAGAAAAGCAACTTTAAGTTCACTTTAAAAAAAGAAAAAAGCTCATAACATCAGTGAATGAAAAACAGCTAAACAAATTTCACCGTTGATAATGAGCAGGAAACCCAGTGCTTGAGATCATGAGTTTATGCAAATCTGTTATTACTGCAAATTGGCATCCTAAGACCCTGATCCAACACTTGCACATATGCTTAACTTTATGCACATGAGCAGTCTCATTAACGCCAAAGACTTAGTCGTGCATAAAACTGAGCAAATGCATGAGTGTTTGTAAGACTGGGATTTAAACACAAGGGATGGAAAACAAATTTACTGTATCATCAACAATTATTTCTGAAACCCATCAGAAGCCAAGGTGGTGCCAGAAGTCTGTTTAGTGTAGAAACATTCAAAGAGAGAGAGGAGTGGGATTTTGAAGATTGCTGCCTTTAACTCAATCCATTAGGCCCAATAATGGTGGGCCAAACACAGGAGGAAAACATCCCTGCCCAGATTAAAATATAACTGATTATGGATATTGGAGACATAGTATTTTGCATCACATTTTACAAGATAAACTGGACTGCCTCTTAAAAACACAGATTTCAAACTTAGTTATTGTAAAGAAGAACTGTTTATAATCAACTTGGATTTGACTATGTTATTCAGCAGTGTTTCACACAAGTCTTACAAAATTAATTTAAGTGGTATCAGGTTTATGTGGATTCAGAGCTGACTGCAGCATTTATATAAATAGTTACAATAGATACAAAGGCTGACATGGGAGGGAGGTGCCTACTGCGTCGCAGTGAAGACTGATGGCTAGTCTTAGAGCTAGTTTTAATTAGAGTATTCGGCAATGCTTCAGGAAACAGAAGAGCTCCCTTATGTTATGAAACCTGACAAAAATATGCTATTTCCTTGGGAATCCAAAAGAGTAAATACAATAAAATTTGAGTACCTACCAGCAAGACAAGAAAAAACAAAGAGCTGTAAAACAAGGTCTGTAGAAATAAAACTTCTGCCAAATTTAAAGGGATAGCTCTGGAAAAGGAATTCTGGGAAAAGTCCAACCCTGCATTGGGAAGATGTAAAAATAAGGCCTCTACAAAAAATGAGGTCTTGTTATCATAAATAGAATCAGTCAAAAGTCATGTTTATGTATCATGATAATTTCTGTGTGCTTTTTAAGCTTTTTTTTTTTTTTAGTTTGAAAAAAAATTAGTACATTCTCGGCAGTCAATTTTACTGCTACTTTTTATTTTGTGGTGGTTTTTTCCATACTTTCTGTTCTTTTCACCCAGTACCATTGCTGCTGTCAATTTTGCTGTGTAACAGTAAAGTTGACGGAATTATGATACTTTTCGTTAGTCACATCTTGCAGCTTGTTCCAAAGCGGCAGTTCCAGGACCTCCGGGTCCCATGCTTGGCTGTGTATCTGCCTCCTGGCGAAGTCCGCATATTGCAAGGGCTCTTGGTTCTCCATAGGGTTTGTTTGGGAGGGTTGTCATGGAGATACAGGGTCTGAAAAAGGCAGTATGGTCTTTCACGCGGCTGCAGTCTATACGGACGTGCGGCCCACAGCAATGGCGGTGAGAGCTGAGCTGGCAGGGAGCCAGGCAACTTGTGAAAATGCTTTAGCACATTTGCACTTGACATTTTGGTTGTGGTTACATGGAGTATCAGTGCATTGATGGCCAGCTGTTTTCAAGTCTGCATCCATCTTAAAGGCTGAGTTTTATATAAAAATAGCTTTGGGGGATGACTCCGGTGAGGTAGCAGCTTCACCTCTGCAATCTCACAGCACAGTAATGCTGCATGTCCTGAATGTATGAGAACAAAGTGAAAAGAGTTAACACAGGTTGGAGCAGCTTGTTGGCCAGGAGCCCTCCTCTCACTAGCTCTTTTCCCAAAGGAAAGAAAGTTTTATCTTTCTTCATGGGTTAAGTTTTGGCTTTTTTCTCTCACCTATACAGGTTTCAAAGAAGGAGGTAGGACTTCTGTGACTAACTGGCATCTGGCAGGAGTGTGATTCTGAACCAGGCTTTAAGGGATTGTCATGACAAAGATACAAACGGTGGTATTATTGATGAGAAAAGTGATGCTGGAGATGTAGCAGCAGGAAGAATCAGCCCTGCAAATCTTTGTTCATTCTGCCTAACCTCACCGTGTGCAACATTGCTTTATATGGCTGGTCAATAAGATGCACAAGTTTGCAAATGCCTGGCTTCGGGGTACCACCATGTTCTGAGTTGAAGGACTGTGAGAACTGGAGAGTGGAGGAAAGTCTGAAATAAATTTGAACAGTATTTATGGTGTTTTCAATGCCTACCTGCTTCATTCCGGTAGGTAAAGAGCGCAGACGATCTGTTCATCAGCACAGCTCTGGCACACTGAACCTCCCAAAGGCTGTGATGATAATTAACTCCTAAATGTTGTAGTTTCTTTGAAATACACTTCCAATTCTTTGAGGAAATAATTATTTCAGAATAAACCAGTCTTTCTTAATCCAGACCTTATTTATTATATTCTGAAGCACACCTTGAAATGCAACACTGAACACAAATTTCTCTTTGATTGGTTTAATGGAAACAATTTCTCTCTTCAGCAAGAACTTGCTTTCAGAGTGAAACCTTAACATTTTACTTTTTATCTGTCTTGTCAATCATTGATTTATTTTTTTTTCCTGTTGGCTCTACCTGGAGATGTCATATACCTCTCAAAAGCACGTAATCTGAAAAGATGCGGAACAAAGTTTTTATTTTTCAAACCAGTCAACTAGTTACCAGTTGATCTGACAAATATGTCACACAAATTTATCTTTGGAAAAAGTTTCCTCAGCTGATGCACAGCACTTGAGTGCAAGTTTGCTTAACAAAATCATAACTAATGCCCAACTTATTTTTCTGATTTGATATTTCATATCATAGACTCATAGAAAAGTTCAGGCTGGAAGGGACCTCAGAGGGTCATCATATCCACCTTTCTGCTCAAAGCAGGGTCAGGTATGAGATCAGGTTGCTGGGGGCTTTATCCAGTCTTTAAAACCTCCCAAGATTTTAACACAACCGCACAACCTCTGTGGGCAACCGTTTCCAATGCTTGACTATCCTCATGGTGAAAAGGTTTTTCCTCATATCTTGCTGAAACCTCTCTTTTTTCAGTTTATGTCCATTGTCTCTCCTCCTCTCTCTCTGCTGCATTGGGGCTCATGTTACTAAGGGCTGCGGCAAAAAAAACCCCCTTTTATTTCTCGTCAGTATTTCTGCATGCATTAGGGAGGACAATTCAATATCCTTCAGGCTCTAAGGCAATGAATCTAAACAAATTTTTTCTGCTCCTTATGTGCTGTATTGAAAGATGAAAACTCATTCTTGCATGTAAGGAAAACAGAGTTTCAATGAAGATCTGACCCAGAGACTGGAGAACACAGTTTTCCTATAAAAGATGTTCTTTCATTAAAAAGACTATTGTAACCTAAACACTTTATGATATATTTTCTTTCCAAGGAACTTCTTCAATCTCACTGAGCATGCTGAAGTCATTATATAGTTACTAGAGATGCTTCTTTGTCCATACAGACTTACTACAGGTTACATTTCTGCAGGAGATTAAAAATGATGTATTAGTAGATATCCTTCTAAAAATACTCTTTTAAGTAATATGTATCTTCATCTTCCCAAACCTGGAAGAACCTATACAACAGCAAAGGAAATACAGCAAATAATTCAGGGCAAATAGTATATAACTATGAGAACTTTTACCACTGTATTTATTTAAATGAAGGGAAATGTCAAAATGTGAAAGCTAGGCACTTCAGCTTATTCACATATTTTACATTCAAAGGACAACAGATTATTATTTTTTTTTTTTTTCCCCCAGAAAAAAAGACTCCTGCTCTGGTTTCCAAAATTTTTACAGAGACATGGAATATACTTAATGAAGCACGCCACTGCAATGCATACAATGAAAACCTTGTGTATATGGGAAAAAGATAAAAAACAAACAAATTTGACCATTACCAAAAGAAGTTTTCCTTTAATATAAATAAAATTCAGAGTAGTGCTTTATTTTAACAGACCACACAACAGTGGGATTTATTAACAACCACATATTTACAGTGCCTCACTGGTAAAAATACCGGGCTTCATCTGAGATCCTAGACACTTCCTGAGAAGGCAATGTGGGCTGAGGACTGGTCAGCACTTCACATAAGCTAAGTGCTAAAGGGGTGAAACAAAAGCATGCTTTTAAAATAAGATGGCAAAGGTGGAACTGCTGATGCATCGTGTTTATGCCCTGATCTAGCATAACTTGCACCTCAAGTACTCCCTTTGATTTCAGTAGATCTATGTATGCTCCTAAGTTTAAATGCAGGATAAGTGTTTCAAACCAGGAGCCTCAGAGGAAGACAACTGCTTGACTCAAAGATACTATGAGTAAGAAAACTGCTGTAATTACAATTTTATGTGGTATGGAGGCACACAACCTTGAATTTAAATCCATATTCTTCTGCATGGGTGATTTCTACCACTTTACTTTTAATTTGATCGTACAAGGTCTGGATTCCAAATATCTCTATCAACTGACAAACTTGTGAAAGCATCTTCTTCCCACAGCCTCCAAAATCATAGTGCCAGTTTAGCAGATCTCAGTGTTTTTGGCAATTAAATAAAATAAGAACCAGATCTTTGTCAAAGTATTCACAAAATAATCTTTCACTTATAAAATGGCTGTCCTACCATTCTTGTATCAGATCTGACCTCAGCTCTTTAGCTCTAAACAGTTCTTTAAAAGTTATAAAAATAAAGAATTGATTAATATACAAATATATATTTCAGAGTGATAAGAGAAAAATATTAAACAAATTCCTTTTTTAATCTACTTTAAATTAAAAGAAATGTTTTCAAAAGTCTGGGCTGAAGCAGATCTTTATCTATTGACTCTTTAATGGAACCCATTCCCTGCAGATGGCCACATACAACTTAATTTAAGAACTCATTACTACAAAAAGACAGCGAACATGTTTCCACTAGCAAAGCAATTCATTAAATCTAGCGTGCCAGTTGGTTTTTGGTATCTTGCTTTCAAGAATTGCAGTCATTTCTAATATTAGAAACAAAACCCAAGTCATGAAAAGTCTTGAGCTTCTTTAGAAATTTGCTTCTTTCCCTGGTCTTCATTAATATTTGTTTTGCAATAATCTGGTTTGTTTTGTGTACTGTTTGTATACAGCGTAATATAAATGCTCTGTTTGAATGCACACGTATGTACAAAACGAGTCAGTAATTCAGTTAAGAGAGATGCCACCTCACTGGGTCATTTCATACTTTCACAATACCATATTTTTATGTAATATCCATAACAACATCATCTAGGTTGCTCCCTTCTTCCACTGAGATGTTCATGCATGTTTTCCTTCCATTTATCTCAAGCAGCCGAAACAGCAAGGAACATTTTTGAACAACCTATAATACTCTTCCTGAATCTGAAATAAAAATATTGAATTAAAATATAAAATAGATTTATTAATAGGTCTATATGTCTTTAAACTCATTTTGTACTGCTGCTGTCACCAGAAGTTTTAAGGTGGGGCTGCTTTTGACTTTAGGACAGAATACTGAAGAAAGTATCATGTCAGGCTAGTGTGAGTGAATCCTGTTGCTAACTGGAAAGACTGGAAGTGAGTTTTGTTGCACACATTGCGTTATTTCGTCAGGTTAATGGCACCGTAACCAGTTTTGAAAAAACATGTTTCCGTGTTTCATACATTGATTTTAAAACGGGGACGAACTATGTGAGAAGGTAAAAATTGGGCAGAGGTTCTGTCTCCGCTGAAGGCAATGGTAAAATTTCCCCTCTTCCGTCCTCTCCCCCATCAGTGGCACAAGGATTTCCTCCCTTGCTCTGACAAAACATTTGCACCACAACTCTGCTTCAGGGCTAGGGACCTGCCTGTGTAGGTACACGAGGCTGCCTGAGTCACTTCCCACGAGGAATGGAACACTTACCTTCCTAGACAACACGCAAAGAAATATGAAGATGAACATCCCCTGGAATGCGTTGAAGATTGTAAAAAGATATGCAGTAACCACAGATCCCTGGACGACATGGAGGACCCCGAAGATCCAGGTAGCCCCAAGGAGGAACAGGAGAGCAAGAGCACCTCGGGCACAGGACCTAGACAGCAAGGACACGTCAACAACGTGCGGGCACCTGCCATTTTCCTTCCTTCACCGCTTTGGATGGTGAACGCTGCCTGGGCAATTTTTTCCCAGCTGCAAAGCCCTGAGAAGTGCAAATGCATGGGCTGCTCTTTAGGGTGTGCTGTAGCACTGTGGCACGAATAAGCTCACCTAATCACTGCAGAAGAGCAAAGGAGTAAAACTGGAGGGCCTTGAAACACTGGCTTCTTTAATCTTCAGATATGTTTTCTCTGGTGTACTGCAGCACCATATGATTTGATTTAAATCCACTGTTAGTGTAATTCCCCAAGGAAAAACATATGTCTGTTATGAAGCATTCCCCCACTTTTCCTCCCCCCCTTATCTTCCTTAAAAATAACCCAGAAAAATGTACAGTATGCTCTTAGGTCAGTACATGTGCGTGACATCAAAGGGTGCCCAGGCTGCCTCTCAGGTTCACTGCAGAAGACGGTGCCAGTTGTAAAACTAGACTTTCTTTCTTTCTTTCATTCTTTCTCTTTAAAAAACAAAAAAATTTTGGTTTTAGAACACAAATAGTCTTAAATAGTTCCTGGGTCAGCATATTGATGCTTTAAAATTATAGGAACTGATTGGCTATGATTTTTTTCTTCCAACATGCTGTAGAGCCCTGCTCGCAGACTTGAGCAAATTACAGCATGTTGTCTTGGAAATGAAGCCACTGATTACTTTCTTATTCATTCTCAGCCCAGTCATTGCAGGACTTCCTTTGAACAACAGACATTTTTAGCACCGTTCCTCTGAAAATGAATAATTTTCAACTTCATTAAAACCAGCGCACCACATGAAGCTATGAAGGGTGAGGAATAAGAGAAAGTAATCAATCAAACAATTGCTAAATCCTAACTATAAATCTAGTGCAATGCATTGAAACTGCAGGAGTGTTCCTAAGCAACACAAACAGTAAGTTGTTTTCAATGTTCCCTGTAGTACACTTCAGCTTTTCCTGCACAAACGGTTTTCAAGGTCCCTATAAATCAGTTTTAAAGAGAGTGAGTTGATGGAAAAATCATAGCAGCATGCAAAGTAAAAATCCTGGAGAGAATCCTCCACGTCCCCCCCCAACACCCCAGAAGCACAATGTCCTACTGTTGACTTTTTACAAATAACATGAATGGCTTGATTTTCTTATCACGGAATTACTTGTTACTTCAAGGCAAATATTTTGGTCCCAATTCAGGCATAAGTTTTGAAATCTGATTTGGCTTGCATAGAGGCTGTGGAAAGTACTTAAGAAAAAAGGACAATTACTTCTTTAACCTTGCCATCAGCCTTTACCCTCTGGTCATTATGGGCCACTTGTATTCCTCATACACCTCCCACACAACCCCCGCGTTACTCTACAAGGTATTGCTCAATGGGAATAAAGACTGCAAAATCTACCTCCAAATCTATATGAGGGGATAACAGAAAAAAAAAAAATCTTTTTCTACAAATCTTCCAGAAGATTTAACTATTATTTTTGAATACTCACTTTCATTTCTGGCTGTATTTAAACTTACAGAAAGTAGAATTTGTATTAAATGGCAAACTTACCTTATATTTTCATAACAACTAACTTCTGGCTTTAACATTGCAGTGTGTCGAAATACTTTATAAATAATCACTCCGAAAGCCAACAAATTAACCTGAGGGGAGTGAAGAAAGGAACTTTTAGTTCAAACCAGGACGCTTTTGAATTTCAGTAACCGTTACACATTTAAATGAAACAAGTCAGATAAAGTTTCTGTGTATTTGAAACCTACAGAACCCAGTGCCGGGAGGGGAAAAAACCCACCCTTTTCTGATCCACTTCTATTAAAAAAATATGAGCTCTGTAATAAACATTGATCAAACAGGGCTGTAACTCTACCTTATCTCAACAGTATCACCACCAACAGTCTGCAAATGTTTATTGATTTTATTGGTAAATCTCTTTGATTTCCTGCTGAGATTTTATTTCTCTAAGTAGAGATGTTTAAGAAAAAAAAAGAAGAGAAAAAGGAAAAAGAAAAAAAAAAAAAAAAAAAAACCCCCCCCCCCCCCCCCGGATTTCCTATTGTACTGTATCATGTAGATCTTGACAAAATGTATGTCTTTTGTTGCTGAATAACATTAATAACATCATATGTTCTGAGGTCTTTGGGGTGTGAAAACTTTCAAGTGGCACAAAAAAACTTTGAGGTTTACACAAAGAATTTTTAAAAAACTAACTTTGGTTGAAAGGCTCCTTGCTGCGCATTCTCTCTTATATTTTATGTTTGTTTCATCGGTGAATAATTTCAGTATGTTTTTTTCTTGCCTTCTTTATCATGGCATCACTTTATTTGAGTTTGAAACAGAAAAAAGCAACTAAAAGAAGCAGTTTTGCAAATGATGCTCAATTATGGTTCTGAACCTCTGTTTGCTCGGCTAGGCTTCACTGATCTTTCATTTAAATTTATACTGCATTCCTTTAACAATGTGGATGAGTTTGCTTTCTCACTTTTAAAAAAATTCTTATTTTGCTTTGCAGCATTTAACATCAGAATCTATTAAAAATGTTAGTAAATGAACCAAATTTTAGCTGGATGTCATCCAGATACTCTTTGTAGATCCTTGGTTGGAATCCCTTGGTGGGTTCCTGTGGGCTTCCAGATGTAGAATGAATAGAATTAATGTCTTCCCCAACCTGTTTCTCCAGAAAGGCTGTGTGGTTTCCCTCCCTCCTTCTTTTTCTTTAAAAAAAAAATCCTCCATAATGAAAACAAAAGGCTGCTGTAGGAGCACAGCATCACTTTAAAAAGAATCACTTTCATTTGTTAACGCTTGTTATGTATGTCCTCAGAACATTTTTGTTGTGTCAAGGGGGGAGTATCTGATATTAAATGCAGGCTCTGCTTTAATTAGCTGCATGCTCATACTTTAATACAGCATAATGTATTTACAATTTGATAAGACAGGAGATAGAGCTGATTAGCAGTTTAGGGAATTAATCCTTCACTGAATACCTTGTATTTGCGCTGATCGTGAGAGCTATTCTGAAGCTCCTTATATTTAAAATTGTAATCTATAATACCTCCTAAACCAGCAATTTTTCAAAGTTAATTATAAGTCAGTCAGCAGTTGTGGGTAATTATATGCAGACTTACTTTTTATCTTATATTTGTTGGTGAATAATATATCAAATAACTTAGTGCACACACTGTAATCTGCATAACCCACGTAATATACTTATTAATCTGAAAAAGGTCGGGTGAAATGTGATCAAAGTACCACGAGCATGGAGAACACGCACCGCTACTTCTTCAGAAACTGCTATCAAGATTGCAGCACAAACCACGCGACCAACCTTCCTCTCTGCCAGCCCATCACCAGGACCACTAAAGTCAACGAGAGCCTGCGTTTTGCCATTAATAGGCTCTGCAAGGAGCTCTGTGGGCCAACCCCCCCTGTCCTTCGGCCACATAAACCAGCTGCAGAACTGGAGAGGTTTTGCTGAGCAAGGATGGGGCGGGCAACAGGCAGATGTGGGACCTCGCGGCACCAGACTCCATTTCTCTTTGTCCCAGCGGGGCTTCTTTACACAAATACTATTTACACTGTCTGTTGCACAGGATAATAGGATTTGGCCCTCTGCATTAAAGTAATACCCATTAACTATGATCTTTTCATTCATCAATCCATTCTAATGGGAATAATCTGTACATATCGGGGGAATGGGAGAGGTTAACACTGGCTTCTCGGAGTCAGCTGCCAGAACACAATTATTGTACAATACGTCTCAGGTAGCCTCACAGGAGGTAGTGTTACAGGGTAATGAGGGTCAGCTTAACTTCTGAAATACCCGGTCACTTCCAAGATTTATGAAAGTCTTAAGTCAGTTTTTGCCCCATTTTGAAGCACTCCATTATTAAAAAATATCTATAGCAAAGTACCTAGACTGCCTTTACACAATGTCCAGTGTCTCAAAACAGAAGCTTTTAGGCAACATTGCATTTTTTTTTTTTTTTTTTTTTTTCAGCCTAAGTTAGAGTCCTCTGGAACTGCATTTTGTCCTTTGGGGGACAAAATAGGTAACAATAGTTGTAACTGTCCTGTGACAGACACAGAAATGCAGCAAAACTTGAGGGAAAACAATAACAAGAACTCAAGGGTAAATCTAGGAGAAAAAACTAGCCAATGTTAATAATGGTTCAAGTGTGGCTTTTGGAGGAAACTGGTAATCCAATAGGTATCCTAAACTGAACATATTCTACTTCAACCTGATGCTCTGCATATTCTTTGCTATGAACTTACCAGTAGCCTCAGCTATTTCTGGGAGAAGTAAAGTAAAAAGTTCACGTTGGATAGTTGGACTGAGTAGGAATACTGAGAAGTTGGACTGAGTAGGACTAAAGGGGAAATGGCCTTTAAATAACTGATATCCCCAAAGAGCCATAGGTATTTCAACAAATGGGATGGGAAGTCAAATCACCCAAAATGCCTGGCCAAAGATACAACCACTTAGGACATTTGAATTTGTATCCAAAACTGAGCTTCAAATGAGCAGAAACAGAGGCAGTAGGCTGTAAAAGTCATCCAAAATACAGAAAGGCAGAAGGAATCCTGGATCCCCAAATCCTCCAGCTGGGACAAACTGAGGAGCTTCCACATGAGAGACACTGAAACATCTGCTTCAGCTGCTACTTATAGCCAAGCATTGTGTTTTATACTTACTTTGGTTGTAATCGCGTGTTTTCATTTTTGTAATTAAAGCACAAACTTCAGATCTTGTTGAATAAACCTTCGATGACGTTTATAATTAAGGCTGCCTTAAGGTGACAGGCAAGGTGAATGAGAATGACATGGCAAACATAAGGCACGCTGTCTCCAGAGAGAGCAGGACGCGCAGGCAGCTGTGAAACCGAGCTCAGGACAGGCTTTGCGCCGGCCTGGGAAGGACCAGCCTGGGGACTGCTGCTGCCACGTGCCAGCTGTGGGGAGAAGGTACCGGTATAATGAGGAGAGCTGCTCTGCAGCCTTGGGCAGACCCAAAGCGTGAAATGTTGTGGCATGGCCACAGTTCTATCAAGTGAATAACGACGTTACAGTGTGACACGGCAAGTTCTTGTGCCTTTGTTTTCAGTGTTATTACATGGCTGAGCAGTCAGAGAAACTGCTGCGTGTCCTGAGAGGGGATTCTCGGCAAGTCTAATAGGCTAAAGGGGAATTGCATTGATTCCAAGACCAGAACTGGGGTTTTTTTGTTGTTTTTTTTTTTTATTTAACAAATGATCCCAAACTGCTGTTGGGCAAACAGTGCACTCAGTCCTTACTACTTCACAAAGGAAACCTCTGACTTTCTTCCTGCAAGCCCAATTCTGTGAGATGCTGAGCATCCTCAGCCCTCCCCCTCCTCGAGCTTCCATGGGAATCAGGTTTCACTCAGCAAGCTCAGGTACACTACAAGACTGATTTTAATAATTAAACTATTCCTTTTTTTTTCTTTTTTTTTTTTTTAAGTGGTTAATCAAAGACAAGGGCTGATATAGGAACAGCCCCTGCTCGTAGCATCTTCAGGGAATCATTTCTCCTTAAAGATATTTGTAAAAGAATTTTTAGCTTTATTAAATTCTACAAACGTTGTGGTATATTTACGAACAAATGGTAGGAAACTTAAAATACATTTATGTGAAATAGATATTAAATAAGGGCAATTATTAGGATCCCATGAAATCAGGATTCTGTAGATATGGGCAACACATTTATGTATCTGTATAACCCAGGATAGTCTCCAAGGAGCCACAAATCTGGATGAGCTAGGTTTTATTGTACACCCGTGACTTAGTTTAAAGGGAGGATGGTAAGTGTTTGGTGCATCCCTCTTGGGGAGATGACCTGTGTGAAGGGTTACAAGGATTTAGGACTTTTGAGTGACTTCTGGCCCCATTAAACTGATGGCAGAACTCCTGTTAAATGGTAAAACTCCCATTGCCTCCAGCGTTGTCAAGGCTTTACCTCTACACATCATAGAGAGTGGCAGCCTCAAGGGATTCACAGACAACAGTGGACACTGCTGTGGGTTTCACTCTGCAGATTAGCACTTGCATGTATCATGGACGCACACTGTGGAATAGAGCAGGATAGTGAAATTTTTCCTGCAGCTGTGTTTTGGGGATGTCCATGGTACAGTTGCCATGTTCACAACTGTGACGCTGGTGGGCAAGATACAGCAGGCACACAAGGAAGAGTTCAGAGCTGTCTGGAGCGGTACAAGTCCTAGGATCAGCTCTGACCCACAGCTGCAGCAGCTGCCTGGATAATTTCCTCTTGTAAAGAAATTCACAGGAGAGAAAAAGCGATTGCAAATTCAGAGAGATTTCCTGGTGCTTTCCTAATCATTTTGTCAACAATAAGGAGGTTTTACCAAAGGAATTGGCCTGGGGAGCTCTGTTCAATCAATCACATGTATTTTAGGATAGGATGGGAAAAACTGTGTGTGGTGTTAACCTACCTCCACCTAGAGCTAGGATGGCTTGGTAAATCTGTTTGCAGATTTGCATCCCTCCCTCCGTCTCAATGCTACTATGGCTAACTGGCATAGGTTTCTGTAATGAAGGAAACCTGCCCAACGGTGGGCATGGGTAGACCAAGATCCTGCTGCTTTGTCTTCTACTCCTAGCAGCTC